TCAACAAGGGTACCTGCATAATCAACGTTTGTATACCTAACCCTGAATTGTAACCCACATTTTTATAGTAAAAAAAAAAAAAAAGACTTTTCCCAGATGGATATGACTTCGTCCTTCACCTCTTTCAAATTTTTGCTTAAATGTCACCTTTACACTGAGGCCTTCCCTAATCACCCTGTTTAAAATGGCATCACCAGGCAAGATGACTCACACCGTGCACTTTGGTAGGCAGAGGCAAGAAGATTGACTGAGCCCAGGGGTTCAAGACAAGCCCGGGCAACATTGTGAGATGTCATCTCTAAAATAAAACAAAAAATTAGCCTGACATGGTGACATGCGCCTGTAGTCCCAGCTACTTGGAAGGCTGAGGCAGAAGGATTGTCTAAGCCCAGCAGGTAGAGGCTGCAGTGGTTGTGACCATGCCACTGTGCTCCAGCCTGGGCAATAGAGTGAGACTGTCAATCAATCAATTAATCAAATAGCATCATCATCTCCCCCAATGCCTAGCACTCCTTTAATATTTATCTCTATCACACATATTACCAAGTGGTGTGTGAGATGTCTGATTTAATTATCACCTGTCTTCTCCCTCTAGAATCTAAGCTCTGTGAAGACAGGGATAATTCACTGTTTTGCTCTCTCACTGCAGTGAAAGGTGTCAGACACATTGTAGGCATTCAGCAAATATTTGCTAAAAGAATATTCTGTATTCTAAACAGCTGCTAGTTTTTCTATAGTATTTATATCCCCAAAATGCATTTTCCCTTATATATATTAATAAATGCAAAATTCATCTCTAGTCCACAGAGCTGTACAATTCAGTCAAGTCACTTGCCTCTCTGGGCCACAGCTGAAAAACCGGGTGGTAAATGAGAGGATCCTTGAGGTTCTTTTCAGCTGTAACATTCTATTTAGTAGTATCTGACCAATTGGACTTATAAATTGGTACTTGCTTAGGAAAAAAAAAACTTTTTATCTTCTTTCCCATTTCAAAATACAAAAGGAGTGATATATGTTTAGTTCCTCTCTTTTTTAAGTTCCTATTGTTTTAATTTAAAAAATGTAGGCTACAGTTCAGGGTTAGGTACATATGTGGTCATTGTACAGGTAAAGTGTGAGTACCCTTATGAGTTCTGCCATGGCAGTGTCCCACCACTGCCAAGCCCTTTCTTATGGTATTATGATAAATGTTCAGGATCCACTTACGAGTGAGTACATGTGGTACTCAGGTTTAGTTCCTCTTATTACAAACTCCAAACCTGCACAGCAGTGAAGCCCTAAAGAGAAGCAGAACTGTTCAAGTGTTAATTCATAGACCATCTTTCTTGTTGAGATGTGTGACATGATGGATTTTCTAGATGCTGAAAGGAAACTAAAACTTTACTCGAGAGTTAAAAGTAAATATACATATATATATATATAATTTTCCTATATTAGTATTTATTAATATTGATCACTAATTACCTGTTTTAGAATCTCATCCAACAAGCCCATATTGGCCTCTTGAGCTTTTATGGTATGGGAGAAAAATGCATAAGTCTTCCTGGACATTAATTTTTCCTCTGGAGGTCTTTTAACTCCCAAAATTAGACAAGCTTCAGAAATATCCTCCTGAAGAACGCCACCAGCTTTAACATATTCCTAAAAATGTAATTTTGATGAAAAGTTATTATCCTGATTTGTGGTATTCATATTTTCTTTACTAAAAAGTGTAGCAAATAAAGGCACAAACTTTTGGTGCCTTTATTTGGTGAAATCAAATTTGTATGGATTAGAACAAACACATGTTTCTAATAATTGTACTTGTTGGCTAAAGGTAAATCTGTCATGTTCAACTCATAGCAAAAAAGAGACAATTTACCGTATTCTTATATGGAAGAATAGGCTATAGTTGATCATATCCACGAGCACATGTGATTTAAACATACCTGTGAAATGTATATTTTATACCAATGATACACTTAAACATTAAATGCCAAATCATTATTTATCTTTCAGTTGTACTTTTTAAAAGACAAGGCATAACTCCAACATTCATTTTTCATTGTTTTGATCCATTAGTATTTATTATTCTCCTAATCTGTGTAGTGGACTGTGCTGGAGAGGAGATGACAAGACACAAAGAAATATAGACAAAGCTGGGTGTGGTGGCTCACGCCTGTAATCCCAGCACTTTGGGAGGTGGAGGCAAGAGGATTGCCTGAGTCCAGGGGTTCGAGATCAGCCGGGGCAACTTGGTGAGACCTTGTCTCTACAATAAATCAAAAAATTAGCTAGACATTGTGGCGCGCACCTATACTTCTGGCTATTTGGAAAGCTGAGGTGGAAGGATCATCAGAGTCTAGCAGGTAGAGGCTGCTGCAGTGGCTGTGAACATGTCAATGCATTCCAGCCCAGGTTACAGAGTGAGATTCTGACTCATGCACACACAAAAACCCTTTCTATAAAGGAGCTCACAAAATACAGTAAAAAGAAGTCAGAGCCGAGCATGGTGGCTCACACCTGTAATCCCAGTACTTTGGGAGGCTAAGGCAAGAGGATTGCCTATGAATTCAAGACCAGTGTGGGCAACATGATGAGACCTCCTCTCTACAATGAATCAAAAACAAAAGAGCTGGGTGTGGTAGCACCTGCCTGTAGTTCTGGCTACTTGGAAGGCTGAGGTGGAAGGATCACCTGATCCCAGCAGGTCGAGGCTGTGGTGGCTATGAGCATGCCACTGCACCATAGCCTGGGCAACAAAGTGAGACTCCAACTCAAAAAAAAAAAATTGTAAACTGTTTTATTACAGTGCATGAACTGTTTATCAAACTGTAAACTGTAATTCAGTGTTGCAAAATGCTTCTTTAATTTTTCCTCTTTAGAATATCATTATTATAGCATGGACCTCTTTCATTCAATTCATTAACCATTATTCTTTGTAATGTCCTAATTGTTCCAAATTTGGTCAGTGTTTCTCTGTTCTTTGGACATGAATCCATTTATCTTTGAGCTTTCTTGTTTCCCTGAATAACAAATTGTCCTAGCCTCACCTTGTACTTTTCTTGACCCTCACCTAGAATTAAACATTTCGCCAAGGTGCCTTGATTTCTTTCAGTATATAGAAGCTGAGATCTGGTATCTGAAAGATATTATCTTCTTTTTTTTCTTTTTTTTGTGATAAAATATACATAACATGTAGCCATGATTAAGTGTACAGTTCAGTAGCACTAAGTATGTTCATATTGTTGTGCAACCATCGCCACCATCCATCTTCTTGAAAATTTTTTCAGCTTTCCAATCTGAAACTCCATATCCATTATATAATAATTCCCAATTCCCTCCACGCCCTAGCCCCTGGCAACCGCCATTCGAAAAGTACCACTTGCCAAAAGCAGTCTCTTCATATCTCAGCTGAAGAAAGCATGGAATGAGGTGAAAATAATACTTTTCATCAAAGCAAAGGAGTTAAAACAATAGTAGCAAACATTTTACTTTCACTCAGATGCTCCTTAATTTCCGTATATAGGTTCATTTCATTTCCACGTATTTTAAAAATTGGAAATATTTACCTTATCATGGATGGCCCGCCGATTTGAAGGCTGTATCAAAACCTTGTATCCCAGATTGGTGATGCCTTTGATGTGCCTGGGGGCTAGAGGAGCTCTTCTCTCCCAAGCATTCACATCCTCCCGCCTGAGGGCCACCACAGCCTTGTGGTGAAGACCCTTGGAGAAGCTGACCCCCAGTCTGCCCACTCTGGTTCTATGTACTTGCAGCATCTTGACACCTGGTGACTGTAAAGACAATATAAAGAGCAGGACTACAGAAGGCAGGTAGGCTGACAGCTCGATTCTGGTCCCCTGAGAAATCTGTTGTAAAGTTCAGCCAGCTTAAATTATAACAGACAAAGTAGAAGACAGTGAAGAAAAAACCTGGATGATGAAGTGCTCCTTTGCCCAAACAAACCCAAGTTTTCAAAAATTACTACGGAATTAAACTACAGAGCAATGTATGTGACAATAACCAATAACTGCTAAACTAAAATAGCTTTATAAAATATTTCCTTTATGAAATCTCTATCCAGCATAAACGTTTCAAACAAGTTAACCTACAGTGCAAATCCAGAAAGATAACAAAGCAGGACTTTCAGATTGATCTAAAGTTTGCTGGCATAAAGTTTGAAATCCTGTAGAGTGATTTAAGTTCCTCTGGGTATATTCCCAGAAGGGGGATTGCTGGGTCGTATGGAAGGTCAATTTCTAGTAAATGTTTCTTGATTGACTAGATGAGTGGAATTATGCAATCTGGAATAACAGCTGGAAAACTGATTGAGGCATATTAAGGTTTAATATACTGGCAGGAGAACGTGCTATGGAGAGGAAACCCAGAAAAGTGACCATACAAGGATCTTCACAGCTTAGGGCCAACATCTTTCAGCTTTGTCCCTGACCATTCCCTAAACAAATGCTACTCAGTGTGTCTGGCAACTTAGCATCAGTCAGTGAACTGACTTTGTTGCTGGTCCACAATGAGATGTGCACAAAAATAGAAAGTAAACCTATAGAAGCCTTAATAGCATATGATCATTTTTCTAGTAATTTATTTTTATCGAATTTGACCAAAGTGTTGGTCTACCACAGACTGGAAATTAAAGAAAACCAACCAACCAAATAATCCTAATCTCTCACAGATGCTAGAAGTTCAAGAAGCGTGGCCTTAAACCTTGCTACTCCCACCCAAGCCCCAGGCTTCCCTCACGGTTCCCTTTTCTGGGTTTCCTCTCCATAGCAAGTTCTCCTGCCAGTATATTAAACCTTGATATGCCTCAATCAGTTTTCCAGCTGTTATTCCAGATTGCATAATTCCACTCATCCAGTCAATCAGGAAACATTTACTAGAAATTGACCTTCCACACAACCCAGCAATCCCCCTTCTGGGAATATACCCAGAGGAACTTAAATCACTCTACAAAAAAGATACCTGCACACACATGTTTATTACGTTACAACTGATGATTGCAAAAACATGGAACCAACCGTGCTGCCCAACGAAACTGGACTGGATTTTTAAAAATGCGGTACATATACATGATAGAATAATATACAGCCTTAAACAACAACAAAATTATGGACTTCACAGTAACTTGAATGCATTTAGAGTCTATATTACTCAGTGAGCTATCACAGACACAAAGAACAGAGTACCACATGTTCTCACTCATAAGTGAACCCTGAACATTTACCATAATACTATAAGAAAGGGATTAGCAATAGCCAGAAACTGCCAGGGGAGTGGGGGGGAGCACTTAACATTAATAAGGGTGACTTATCTCAAACCAGGTGAAGTGGGGACCAAAGGGAGGCCCAAATTTTACCTGTGCAATGACCACTTATATACCTAATCCTGAATTGTACTCCGTTATCTTTAAAATTAAAAAAAATTTTTAAAAATTTAAAGTTAAACAATAAAACAAAGAACGTAAACATCTACAAAAGGCTTACTATGTACCCTATGCAGAGTAAATTTTACATTAATTTTTAAACCATAAATATCCAGGTTTATCCAGTTTTCCATACTTTTTCAACTAGTTGCACATATTTTGTAGCCAAATGTCATATTAGATGACAATTTTCTGGATCATTTGGATGCTACAAATCAGTTTTCTATTTAAGGCTGATAGCAAAATATAAGGATTAAATGATTTCATACCTTCTAGAAACTTCCTACCCATTGCTGCTAGCATATAGCAAAACTTTTATGAAGCACATTTATCTTAACATCAGATGACAATCTCTAAAGAGCACCCACCCACCCAGCCTACGGATGGGGAAGGCGTGACCAAACAGTTAAGAATACAAATTCAGGCCAGGTAAAGTGACTCAGGTCTGTAATCCCAGCACTTTGGGAGGCCAAGGCAAGAGAATTGCTTGAGTCCAGGGTTTCAAGACCAAGCCTGGACAACTTGGCGAGACCTCATCTCTACCATTAAAAAAAAGAAAAAATTAGCCTGGAGTGGTGGCCCACACCTGTAGTTCCAGCTACTTGGAAAACTGAGGCAGAAGGATGGCCTGAGCCCAGCAGTTGGATGCTGGCCTGAGCCCAGCAGTTGGATGCTGCACCCAAGGATGGTTACGAACGTGCCACTGCACTCCAGCCTGGGTGACAATGAGACATTGACTCAAAAGAAAAAAAAAAGAATACAAGTCCATTTCCTGGGAGAATACAACTACTTGCTACCTAGATGATAAATTTACAGGACAGTTCACAAAAGAATCAGAGAACAGAGCAAACAGCAAGGAGTTCAGTTAAGAAGGTTTTAGGAAGAGGACCAAGAAGAAAAGAAACTGCACAAACAGTGAGGGAAACTGCTAATGAGTAGTTCAGACTTTTACTCAGGCCAAAATTTAAATGCCAAAACAGATGATCAGCATTTCAGGAAAGGACTGTTACATACTGCAATTTTTAGTTTATTCATGTAGTTTTCTTTTTATTTTACTTTTTAAATTTTATTTATTTACTTTTTTTTGAGTCAAAGTCTCACTCTATCGCTCAGGCTGGAGTGCAGTGGCTCACTGCTCAGGGCCACCACAGCCTTAACCTGCTGGGCCCAGGTGATCCTTCCGCCTCAGCATTCTAAGTAGCTGGAACCACAGGCACATGCCACCATGCCCAGCAAATTTTCTTGATTCATTGTAGAGATGAGGTCTCACCAAGTTACCAGGCTGGTCTCAAACCCCTATGCTCAGGCAATCCTCTCACCTCGGACTCCCAAAGTGCTGGGACCATAGGTGTGAGCACTGCGCCCTAGTCTTGTTTTTAAAAGAGATGTGCTAAACCCAAGCCTCGAGTGGCTTGCCTGAGCCCATGGGTTCGAGACCAGTCCGGGCAACCTGACGAGACTTTGTATCTACAATAAATCAAAAATTAGCCAGGAGTGACAGCCGCGCGCCTGTAATTCCGGCTACTTATAAGACTGAGGCAGAAGGATCCCTGGAGCCCAGCAGGTCGACGTTAGGGTGGCCATGAGTGTGCCACTGCTCTCCAACCTGGGCGACAGAGTGAGACTCCAACTCTAAAAACAAAACAAAACAAAAACCCCAAGCCCAAGCCCAAGCCCAAGCCCATTAACACTCAATCTTCCCCCAAGTCAAAAGAAAAACTGCAATGTCCCACAGAACTTGAATTTCTTCGTTTCTCAATAAAACCAACTCCAAAGACAGCGATGACACACACATATGAGGGAGGATCCTGCAAAAAAAAGGAACTATTCTTTGGGGGGTGGGACCATTATAGTTCAGGTTTTCCCTGCTAGATAAATGTTCTAGGAACCTATGGGCATCAGTATACCAGTTAGCATTGTTGTGAGAGGTAGCATTGAGCTCCAGTGAATTTTTTTTTTTTCCTGTGGAGATTCTTTCAACACATTTGCTTATTTCATAATGGGCGATTTATGAGCGCACCTACCCTCACGGCGCTGAGTGATCAGCAGTTTTTGACCAAAAAACGGCATGACCCCTGAGCCCCACCCTCCCTATTCACCCAATCTCGCCTCAAGTGACTTTTTTTTTCTGTTTGTTTCCCTGAATGAAAAAAGTCCTCAAAGGGAAACGATTTGCCCATGTGAAAGTGGTGAAACAAAAAAACAGTAGAAGTACTAAAAGGGATCAAAATTGATGAGTTCAAAAACTGTTTTGAGCCGTGGAAAAAGCATCTCGATAGGTGCACTGCATCAAACAGAGAGTACTTTGAAGGTGATTGAAGTTTAAACATATAAGAATAAATACACAATCTTTTATAAATAATTTCCGGGATTTTGGGGGTCCCATCTCTATATCCAGAAATGGTCCCATCTTCCCAGCAGGGGCCGTATTGCATGAACTCAAGGGGAACTACATGACTCTGGATCTTTTTTCTGAACACTAATTTTTGGCCATGACATGAGGGAACATGTGCAGATAATTTAATCCCTGATCTCAGCCCAAGCTTGATTTATAACCACAGCCACACCTCACTCAGACAATCTCTCCTCTGTCCCCTACCTCCTTTGTCTGGGGTGGAGTGGGGGAAGGAGCAGAGGCTTCTTATTTGCAAAGGTAGACTATCTTGGGGGACTAGAGAAAAAAGAAGCAGCAGGGACTGAACTGCGTTTCACTTGGGAAGCTACTTTCACTTTCATTTTTCGTATGGAATTCTTATATCATAATTTCTGTAGCTTTCTTTAAAAAACAAATATAACAATAGCTACCATTGATTAAACATTATACACCAAGACCTCTGCTGAGCACTTTACAGACATTGTCTTATTTCCTCCTTACAAAAATCTTATTAAGTAGATACTTATTCTCATTTTACAGATGAAGATTCTGAACTGGAAACTAATTGGATTCGTTGCTTTTGAGCAGAACCAGGATTTCCAGGTTAATGTTTAACATCTAGGGTTTTCTCTTCTTTGTCAAAGCTTATGCCTTTTAGATCCAACACATGTTGTTACTCCAGCCAGCTCTTGTTTCATCAAGAAATCAGATCCACATGGCATCAGCTTCAATAGTTACAGTAAACTATCGTAAATTACTGGTTCTGCTCCCAACTGTGGTGCCTCTCTTGACCTCTTTTCCTGTGTTGCACTGAAAATAATTCCTGAGTAACTCCTGGAAAAATTCTAGATTTCTGGGTGCTTAAAAAAAATTTTTGATTCTAACAAGTACAATTGTGAATAACTGCTTGTACTTTGAAACTTGGTCTCATCATAGAACTTTCAAGACTCAGTTCATCTGGTTCTAAAGGTCA